TAAAGATCGCTTAGTTTGTTGTTAAAGATCGTTTAGTTTGTTCTTAAAGATAGTTTAGTTTGTTGTTAAAGATCGTTTAGTTTGTTGTTAAAGATCGTCCAGTTTTTTTAATGATCGCTTTATTTTTTCTTAAAGATTGGTTAGTTTGTTCATAAAGATCGCTGAGTTTGTTGTTAAAGATCACTAAGTTTGTTGTTAAAGATCGCTTAGTTTGTTGTTAAAGATCGCTTAGTTTGATGTTAAAGATCGCTTAGTTTGTTAAAGATCGCTTAGTTTGTTGTTAAACTTCACTTAGTTTGTTGTCAAAGATCGTTTAGTTTGTTCTTAAAGATCGCTTAGTTTGTTGTTAAAGATCGTTTAATTTGTTGTTAAAGATCGTTTAGCTTGTTCTTAAAGATCGCTTAGTTTGATGTTAAGGATCGTTCAGTTTTTATTAATGATCGCTTTATTTTTTCTTAAAGATTGGTTAGTTCGTTCATAAAGATCACCTGGTTTGTTGTTAAAGATCGCTTAGTTTGATGTTAAAGATTGCTTAGTTTGTTGTTAAAGATCGCTTAGTTTTTTCATAAAGATCGCTTAGTTTTTCTTAAAGATAATTGATTTTGTTCCTTAAGATAGATTAATTTTTTCATAAAGATCTTTTAGTTGGTTCCTAAGAACATTTAGTTTTCTGTTAAATATCGCTAAGTATATTCTTATAAATCATTTAGTGTACTCTTAAAGATCATTTGTTTTGTTCTTAAATATCATTTAGTTCTGTCTTAAAGATCGCTTAGATTGTTCTTAAAGATCTCTTAGTTTTGGTGTTAAATATCGTTTAGTTTGTTCTCAAAGATCGCTTAATTTGTTCTTAAATGTCACTTAGTTTGTTGTTAAATAACGCTTTCGTTGAGTATTAAATGACCGAAAACCTGAGTCACTTTCGGCCGAAACCGAAGAAAAACCGAAAGTTAACTTTTCTCTTTCGGCCGAAACCGAAACTTGGCCGAAAGTGATAAAATGGTCACTTTCGGCGCCGAAACTGAAGCCGAAATAAAAATTGGGTCGGTCTCTAAGAAATATATGTTTATATATATCTATATCTATATATATATAAACCAATGATCACTAATCTAAGAGAACGAAAATTCCAGAAAGCCCTACGACTACAAACGCTACGGAAATATCCTTGTTACAAGCTGTATCGTCCATTTAATGTTCACTATCTGAGTTGAGAGTGGGAGACGCTCTTTGGGAAACAGGGTTGGCTAAACTTAAAGAACCCACACAGGCTAGGCAGCGCTGGTGCACATAGAAATATTTAAAATAATTTTTTTTTTTTAGAAATGTAGTTTTAATAATAATAATGTCTCATTGTCCTTCCTTCTTCATTGTTGGTTTCGGCACAGGATTGTCAGGTCCTCGGTCGATTGTGTCTATACGAAGACTTTCATTATCCGGGGGGGGGGGGACGGACCGTCTTGCCACCACAGTATTGTGGTCTATTCCTCATCTCGCCTGGTCACTCGTATACATCAATGAGGATTTAACCCCTGGCTTACAACGACAACGAGGGATTTTTTTAGAAATGTGGTTTTAATAATAATAATGTCTTATTGTCCTTCCTTCTTTATTGTTGGTTTCGGCAGAGGATTGTCAGGTCCTGGGTCGATTGTGTCTATACGAAGACTTTCATTATCCGGGGGGGGGGGGACGGACCGTCTTGCCACCACAGTATTGTGGTCTATTCCTCATCTCGACTGGTCAATCGTATACATCAATGAGGATTTAACTCCTGGCTTACAACGACAACGAGGGGGTAGGGGCGCATTGAAAGAAAGAGTATAGAGACTAAACGAAGACACCTTCTCAAATGAGAAGAGGGGGCTGGGTTAGTGTTAGATGGCGTAGATTATTCCTGACGGAAGTGTAGCTGGCTTGTTTCTGTCGGGACTGGAATAGTCTTGCTCGTGTTGGAACTGTAAATGTCTTGTTTTTGTTGGAAATGGAGCTGCCTTGTTCCTGTCGGGACTTGGGCGGACCACTAAGTGGAAAACAGACAAGGCCATTGATGCCCAACCATAACAAACCATTGTCTCTAACAATACTCACCTCGTGGCTCAATTCGTCGATTGTGTAGTTGTTTTTTTTTTTTTAAAACAGGATTTATTTTTATAATTTTTAATTATTTTTTTTTTAAATTGGAGTTGTTTGTTTTAGTAAAAATCAACTTTATATTTGAAAAATCATTTTAGGGGTTTCAAAAAAAATTTACATCTAAATTTAAGGCTGGGAGATAGAAAAGCATTTGAATAATTTTTTAATGACATTTGATAGTTAATACAAAAATTTATAGTTTGATTAAAATTTTGAGAATTCATGACAAAGGGGCCATCCATAAAGTATGTCACGCTCCAGAGGGGGGCGTGTGTGTAAGAAAATGTGACAGGAGCGAGGGGCGGTCGGGCCATGTGTGACGTCAAGCATTTATTCTTTTTAAATTGTGTTTCTAATTTATTTTTTTAATTTTTTAAGTAGAATTTAATAGCTTTAAAAACAATTTTCAAAAATTTTTGAAGCCATTGAATTAGTTTTATGTCAAAATAGCATGAAATGCGTATCTCCTGAATGTGTTGTTCACGATTCCTCTCGCTAGGAGCGCTAGTATGCTGTTGCGAAGCCTTGTTTTATGTATAGCCTTGCCGAGATCAACAGGAGTTTTCAAAGTACAGCTATAAGATCTTTATTGTCCATCTTTGCAGACCAGCTTACTTGATCGAATTGGCAAAGTATGTCACTTATAATTTGCCTCACAAACAATGTCGAAGAAACATGCAGGGCAACACAGAGCTCGGGCTCGGGAGAATGTGCCAACCCAAACTGTTCCAGATTCAACTCAGATAGAACGCATCAGTCCTTTGAGAATCGCTGCTAGAAGGCAAAGAGAACTCATGGCAGTTATTGCCAGGAGAGAAAATGCACATTCAAAGGATGTTGAGTGTTTCATGAGGATGAAGTTGATCTGTCTGCAATTATCCTTCCAGGAAACGATGATGGTGAAAGATTGATGCAAGTTGTAACTATGGACGAACACTTCACTTCGCCATGGATGGATGATGTCCAGTGAATATTTTTGAATTAAACATAATTCACAGGCCCATAATAAATAGATTCAATATAGCACTAGAGTTTTTCACATAATTTGTCAATGTAGTCTTTTTTTAGTCAAATTATTTTGTTTCCTTTTTATTATTTAATCACTGGGCGAGGTCAAGTTTCGCTAATCTACTTCTTATCCTGTGTAAAAAAAAAAGATTGCATAATCAGAAATTATCTAAAACTTGACCTCACCTTTTGTAAATGAAAAAGCAGCAGATAATGGATGTGTATTATATAATTGACTAGTCTGATTTTTGCAATTGTTGTTTTCAAATTCAATCTAGATTGAGTTACTGCTTCAATGAATAACTATGACAACTGTTGACAGTTAACTATTCTTCTATTAAAGTAATTTTAATAATGTGAGAGTTCTCTTAAGTGGAAATTTTAAATTTTAATACCTTTTAATAGTGAAGTGTGTTTTAGATTAAATTTTAATTAGGTGTTAATTTTTTTTTTTTAAATTGTTCAAAAGTGGGACGTACTTTAAAGGGGGGGGGGGGGTTTCGAGATTTGTGACAGTTTGTGACAGCAGAGGGGGGGGTAAAAATAGTTAAAAATAGCGTGACGTACTTTATGGACGGCCCCAAAATTAAATGTTATTTCATTATTTTTATCTTTAGGAAGGTTTGAAGATTGTCGTGCCAATAATAATATTACACAATTTAATAGACAGAAAGTGAACATTATGTTTGATTAATAAGAACATCAAACTAAGAATCGTAAAGAAATATATTATTTTTAAACAAAACCATCTCCCCCCCCCCCTTTTTAACGTTTAAAGTTACATACAATTTAAAGGAGACTTTTCAGTAGGAACGAAAACAGAAAGTGAACATTATGTTTGATTAATAAGAACATCAAACTAAGAATCGTAAAGAAATATATTATTTTTAAACAAAACCATCTCCCCCCCCCCTTTTTAACGTTTAAAGTTACATACAATTTAAAGGAGACTTTTCAGTAGGAACGAAATATTCCTTTGATTAAAAACATACTCAGCCAGGGATGGAATATTGCTGAAATACGTTGTGTATAGTTGTGTATATATTTTCGCGGTCCAACATTTTAATACCGTTTACATATTAAATAAAGGTAAACAATCCCAAAATAAAGCCTCAGATATTGTAAACGTATCGATCAACGTGAAGAACGAAGTCATTGTGTCTTGGTTAGTTTTTTTTTGTTTCTTTTTTTTTTTAGGGAATATTTTTTCAACATATGCTATTTTAATATAAGCAAGGATAGAGTGCTACATCCTTTTGATAACATTCATCTGAATTCGTTAAACACTCATTTCCTACTTTATAACGCGACAGTTAAGTTATGGTTTCAGATTCAAATCATATAAACTGCTGTACCAAAAGTCTCATCGTTTGGTCTTCTTTAGCAGTTTCTCTATTGTCACTTTTGTCTCGGTTTATTTTGTACACACAAACTCTCGCATTTTAACTTCTGTTTTTTTTTCATTTTTTTTTTATCTTTTTACCAACAAGTTAGAGTAATAGAAGATCCTTCTAGCATCCATGTAAGGACATTCGTAAGAGTCTAAATTACAATTCAGACTTTTTTGTAGGTGACAAAAACAGAAGTAATGTTTCTGTACATTCCGATAAATTTTGTCATTATTGTGGAACACATAGTGATAAATAATAAACTCTAAAAGTTCAAGTATGAACTTAATGAGAAAAGTCAAATTGGTTTTGTTTTCATCTCTAATTAACATTAAATTTATCTATGTGTAGTCCATTACAAAAGCAGCCCCGCTAAAGCCTTTGACAAGGACTCTTAAATCTCATCCAAACAAGGTGTGACAATTCACAACAAAAATGTCGTTATGTCTGTTTCAACAAAATACTGTCTTAATATTTGCAATATTCTTTGAATTTCGAGTTGTACTTGTAATAAATAAAAATGTTAAAGACTGATGCGTAGATCTCAAAGTGTTCTTTCCCCTTGAGAATGACCTCATACAGGTTTTGGTACAGCCCGCCTTGAGTTAATTCAGGTACGGACGCAACAGCCAGGAAAATAAATATCTTGGGCGTGTTGCTGACGACGTAGACAATTGAGATGAAGATGACCTGTTTAATCACCAGCAGCTCTTTCCCGCTGATCTTGCTGGCGGCTCCGACGACCTCATCGGATGCGTCAGTCCGTTGGCGTGAAAATGTTCCTGATCGCATCTTCTCCCGGACCTGAACGGTTCTGATCAAAGATCTGGACATAAGAACCACACAGGTCACTATGATGAGTTGAGACGTGATGGCGATGAAGGTGTCTCTGCCGTTCCAGACGATGCTTTTGACCAGGTCACGATAAGGAGAGAACCACATCGAACGACGGGTCGCGTTAATCTTGACGTCGAACTGGTCCGTGACCCCCATTGTGGCCATGATCGGGACGTACGTCACGACGGCGATCACGCAAATGAATTTCATGACCCGGAACGTGACCAGAACGGAAAACGTGTTTTTGAAGCTGAGCGGTTTGACCACGCACATGCATTTAACCACCGCAAGATACGTTGTGATCAGAGACGGTACGGCGAACAACATTCCTCGAATATTACCGAAGTAAATGTTGAACACGTATGGATTGACGCGAAACCGTATCGTGTACTTTGTAGCCATCTCAGTAACCCAAAACAATATGGACAGCTTCTGACCGAGCGCCGCTAAACAGCACAGTAGCTCTGACGATGACAGGAATAGCATGGACACCGTGACCCCGTCGTCCGCCCCCATGGCTAAGAATGTTCTGATGGTGATCGCGTTGGTGATGACTCCCAGGGTGGATAAGACCAGATCAACGGACGCGTACATCCCCATGGATGTGATGATTTCTTCGTTGGTGACCAGGGTGTCGACAAGAGAAGATGTGTTAGCGTCATGCAATCCCGACATTTTGGTTAAGTTACCTACAAGTAAAATAGCATGATTTGCTCTTTTTCCTCCACTTAATAAAAATATATATTTCTTTCAACCTATTGTTTCACTCTCCACTTTCGGTTTTATTCATATAAACTATTATAATATTAGTATACTTAAATCCACACTTATATATTCTCTCCTATTTCCAATGAATAGTATTCTGTTAAATAGATGAAGAATTTGAAAAAAGCCAGCACCACAACTACACATTCCAAAAACTCCTGGGTTATGCTTCTATTAACCATTTCATAAATTGTCAGTGCCTTCTAAAATGGTACAGTGAAATGACGCGTCTATGGATGTTTGAAATTTGTCATCGTGACCTGCCACGGGTTAAAAAAAAATTACATACAGTTTATAACATTTTAGAAGTGAGTTTTAGCGTTTCTGGATTACGCTCGATTGAAGAGAAAAGTGGCTTAAATTCTTTTCGTGACAGCTTTTTCCTAGGCGTTGTCTCCAATAACTATTCTATTTTATCAACTTAATCTACGCACCTTATTAGTGGAGCAGACAATTAAATAGACCACGTTTCCAATCTCTTTAACGATTTCCGTTTTACAAATTTGCGTCTTAAGAAAATTTAGGGTTATAAAGATTAGTAATTTAAAGAATAAAAAAATATAAAAATAAACCTATATAATTTTAGATAGAGTTGTGAAAAACGAGTTTATATCATAATAGAGGCATTAACTCCTCGTTGACAAATCTATGAGCCATGGCCAAACTTAGTTGATCATCTCAAATATCATACCGTTATGACATTTTCCAAACAAAGAATAAAATAACCGCTATGTTTTTTCTTCAATATACTTTATTTGTGAACGTTATTACAAATCAATGAAGACCATCGATCAGTTCCAAGCTATTGTCACTGGTACCTTGTGTGTTCATAATCATGCTGACATCTTTGGTAATACTATTTACACTGCTGTCGCGCAAAATGACTGAAAAAAATATGGTGAAAAAATTGTATGTTATTGTATGATATCAAAACTATCGGATCTATTTATTTTGTACAAAATTTTAACACGCGTGAAATAATCTTTCTTGTCGTAATTTATATTTTACAATCGCAAGACGACAGAATGAAATGAATCTGATCAATAATTTTAACAGTATTTGTGAAGCGAATAGGGCGATCCTGTGTGACACATTTGGCGGGCAAAGCAAATAATTACAATGATGTCTGTTAGTCGTGGCTTATGGACTCAGTGACGCAACATATTCGCATTGTCACTTTAATATGTGTTTGTAACAAATTATTTAAAGACATGAAAGTACACAAATTAGATGCTGCTCATCTTTTAAGTTTAACAAACTTTGTTTCAAGACCTTATGCCTTTTTCTAAGTTTTTATAAAAAATTCAGTAAAATTTTTTTAACGCGGGTGGCCATCCAATGGGATCTTGAAGCCCGTTTTAACTAAGAAAATTCCAAATCTGTTTTACATCTTGCAGTTTTGACAAAGATCATAGCACAATATTCAGGCAGCAGTGATGCACTCGAATTTGATGCTTCGTCTGGTCATTGTCATATAGCCCCCTTCACCCTTGAATCCATCCGACGTCCGTTCAGACAAGACCTTCGTTGGAGAGTGAAGTAAGTTGTAAGAGTTTATTAATCGGAAACATACGGGGACATTTAAATGAGTGTCGCCACGGTTAACACTCACAGCCCTACGGCAAGTTCAGTTTGCGGGGAACAGAAGACTTCGAATAGAACATGGTGCTACAGATACGTGAGAAAACTAGGAACTTGATGTGGGTATTCTCTGGCACTGGATGAGTCTACCGATCTCTCACAACTTCACGTGTTTATTTGTGGTGAATGATATTAAAATAACATTATCTAACTAGAACGATTAAAGATTGTCTGCAGAACGTTGCTTGTTGGCTCAATCAGTTGCATAGGAAGACGATGAAAAAGGGGGAGGGGGGAGCGGTTCGCCCCTGGCAGCCCTTATTTCTTTATAAAAAAAAAGAATTGACTTTTTTCTAGGAAAAAAAGGTTGAGGGGGCAAAATCCTGTATCTTTGATTTGTTAACTGCGCTAAAAATCAGAGACATGTTCAGTTAATTCTAGGTCTACCTTTTTTAAAAAAAATATTGTATATGAACTTCGCTTTTGTTTTTGGTGGCTGGCTGGGTGGTGGACTGGCAACATTTTCGGACGGCTAACTGACCCACTTCCCATCAACCTAGACCCGTTGGCAGTGACACCACATTCTATAAAATTTCAAACCCCAAACCACCAACCCCCCAAAAGCCAGTTTTTTTTCTCCATTTTTTAAGGGAAGTTTAACTCCATATAACTAATCTAAATGAGCTTCTTTTGAAAATTATCACCCTTTTTGGTGCGTAATATTTTCTTTTATTTTTCTAAAGTTGTTTGTGAAAAAATCTGCTACGTGAAAGCGGGCTAATCATTAGACTATTACTATAGTTCATGGACATGGAAAAAAATGTGTGGTTTCGAGCCTTGGTAGTGGAGCACTAATTGGGATTCTTGTAAAGTGCGTTACATGTTTGCATGTTTTGTCGAGTTTTTAGACCCCCCCCCCCAAAAAAAATAAAATAAAAATAATAATAAATAAATAATTGCACAATAATACATTTTATAAATGATTGATACGAAAAACTTTGGTTTTAGAGGTTGTTTAATTCCTCTACCATTCATTCATGACATACTTTCTCCTCGATTCAATGATCCTGATCATAAGAAAAGGGCACCTGTTCAACTTGTTGGAAACGTTTTGTCTTAAGTCTCTACTGCTGTGACTGCCTGTAATTCGCTGTTCTCAAATCTTTGGTTGCTCTCACACGAAGATAGCGGGAGGTGTCAGTTTGGTGGGGAGGGGGGGGGAGAAAAAAAAAGTGATTATTAGAGGTCAGGAGCAATTGACTCTTAAATGTTTTGTTTTTATATATATGTATATGGATGTCCGTACTTCGTTGACTGTGTTGATATGAGAACATCTCATGCGAACTTGGTTTCTGGATGTGTAACACCATGGGTCACTTTCCAATTTATATATAAACTCCAAGAGGAAGAAAATTCCAGAACTCCTCGGACCACAAATCCCTACGGAAAAAAAAATCTCTGTGACCAGCTGTTTCGCAAATTTAATGTTCACCATCAGCTTTGAGAAGGTGAGACGCTGACTGGGAAACAGGTTTGGCTCCATAAAGAACTCACATAAGCTAGTTAAAAAGCGCTGGTGCACATACAAACTTGTAATTTTGTTGAACTAATCATAACAATTAAAAAAAAAAAATAAGCGATTCAAAAGAAGAGGGTGAATTCTCAAACAGTCACAGAGCCCTAAAATAAATGACTCATTTTTATCTTCAATAGTAGGACGCTAGTTGCAGAAATACAAAAAAAGAGAGTAGTCTACGCTTGGCTGGACTATTAGAAAGAATGCCAAATGACAGAGGAGTGAAATCCTCAGAACGATTTTGCTCAAAGGCAGACTGTGTCTGAGATGGAGGGATGATGTGGAAAAAGATCTAGAACTGCTGGGAATCCGAGCACTGAAAAGAAAAACAACAGTTAGGTCTGAGAGGAAGGAAGTGGTGAGGCAGGCCAAAGCCTTGCAAAGGCTGTAGCGCCACAGGGATGGATGAAATAGTACAGAAAAAGAAATTAAAAAACGGGACAGGGTCTGAAAGGTTGATAAGAAAAAGTTAAGCTACGTCCCTTGACATTAATGTTCGTTCCAATCTCTCGGTAAACATGGGAATTTTAATTAATATTCAAAATAATTATTCTGGTTAGGTCGACTCTAAAGATATGATTGGTTTCATATTAATGCAAGCATAGCATTATTCTAAATTAATATCATAACCAGAAAATTCAGTCTGATGTTATCCAGGTTACATTGGTAGAAATGTGGCTTTAAAATTTACATTTTATCACCGATGCTATAATTTATTGTTCCACCCCCCCCCCCCCCCCCCCCCCCCCCCGCCGCCGACTAAACAACGTTTCCCTTTTCACCAAATTTTGATCTGACTCAGAATTTCCTTTGTTTTTTACTCAATCAAATTTAAAATAATTACTTCCAATCTCAATGCAAATGGCCAGTGTTTTCTGGACATGATATAAAATATATCTTTTTTTGTTAAATGCATGCACCTAAACCCAATTTTATATTTTATTCTCTCTAAATTTGATGGTTTTTTTTAACAATATATTTAGGGATGAAGTTATTTTGACTAACACTTCAATGAAACCTCCAATTGGCCAGGACTTTTTATCATGGATAAATGGACATTTGGTTTGTAATCAGTGCAATGGTTTTAATGATCATCTTTAGCATGGCCAACAAAATACTTAGCAATGTATAGCTTTTTAATTTTTAGACAATTCCTCCCTTTTTCTCTCGTCCACAGGTGCAGACGATAATAATTAAACAGCCATTCATTTAGTCACTCAGAAATTTAAAAAAAAGTAATAATTAAAAGTTACTGATTACTAAAGGCCACTATTTGAAAACGTCCCTGAAAATAATTATTGGTAAGTAAAGGACACTATTTAAAAAACACTTTCATTACGTTAAGAGTTACTAAAAGAGACCGATATACACATTTTTGTATCGAAAAAGCTACTAGGCCAAGTTTAATAAAGAAAAATAATTAAAATGGAAATTCACTAATAAGTCTTGGTCAGAAACGTATACGCGGTTGATTGTAGTGAAATGTAGAGCTTTAATTTTAACTCTGTAGAAATGATCTAGAATGAGACTAATTGAAGATAAGAAAATCATAGACTATCAGTAGAATTTCTTTCCGTGTGTTTTTTTTTCAAATGACTTGCTCAGACTGTCGTCAAAATAAAATGTATTGCGTTTGATGATGATGACGATGGTGATGACAGATTACTTTTAAAACGCTTGTGTCCGTGTCATTTTAGCAGGCTCACAGCGCTCTGATGTCATAATATCTATTTAAAGAAAAAAAAAGTCTTTAAATGTTTCTTAAACTATTGTTTAAGTCCTTTTTAATTTCCTTCAAATATTTTGGCAAACTGTTCTACAATTTAGGCGCTATGTCTTCAAAAGAGTGCACTTCTTACGACTTCCTTCTGTGTCCATCCACACTTGGAACTCCCAGTAGAGACTGTGATGAAGAGCGTGTGTTCATTAAAGATGCAGGTTGCGAAATCAGTTATTTCAGTTATTCAGGTATTATAAGACTGTATAAAGTATCTTTTAGTTGTTCAGGTATTATAAGACTGTGTAAAGTTATCTTTTAGTTGTTCAGGTATTATAAGACTGTATAAAGTTATCTATATTGAGAGCTATTTAAACAAAATTTGCAGAATAGCCTACAGGTATCATACTTTTCATGAGCTTTCCGTTTTTTCCCGCTTCCTTAGCCAATTAAAAACTACTTTTCAAAACACCGTGAAATAATGTTGAATTTATATTTTTTAACAGATAGCGTGACAGCATTGCCTGAATTTAGAGTTAAATTTGTAGTAGATGAAAATATTCACTGCTGAAATCACCAGTTCAGAGAGTTCTCTGCCTTTTATGGTAACGTCATATAAATTTCGGTATCTCCCTACAGGAGTAAAGTCCGGAACTAAGGCAACAACTAAAAAGACAGCGATCTTTGGCGTGTTCCCCGCGATAAAAACCACAGAAATGAGCACCACCTGCTTTATTATTTGGAGTTCTTTCCCACTTAGCTTGCCATCACATTCTAAACTTGAATTGTGCTGATCCATTTTGTGTGAAAATGTACCGTTTTTCAACTGTCCACGAAGTGTGATTGATTTGGACAGCGCTTGAGCCATCATCATCAGACAAACAGCTACTACGACTTCTGACGCGATTGCCGAGAGCGTGTCACGTGACGTCCATACGACCGTCTTGACAAGGTCTCGATTAGAAGAAAACCAGATCATGTGGCGAGTCCTGTTGATGTTTACATCAAGTTCCTGGGTGGTGCCCATGGTGGCGAATATCGGCACATACGACACTATTGAAAAGACGCAAATGCCCACCATTATCCTCCGAGTTCTGGAAACGGAGAACATGCTCTTAAAACTAAGTGGCTTGACCACACACATGCATTTCGCTAAGGACAGATACGTCGTTATCAGGATTGGTATCTCAAAAAGACACGCACGGATGTTCCCGAAAAAAGCGTTGGCCACATAAGGATTGATGAAGAACCAGGTCTTGTAATCTGTAGCCAACTCCGTGACCCAAAAGGCCATCGAAATTTTTTGACCCAATGCGGCCAGACAACACATGAGTTCTGATGATGAGAGATATAAGAATGACACCGTGACCCCGTCGTCTGCTCCCATGGCCAGGAAAGTTTTCGTATTGACAGCGTTGGTGACGATACCCATAACCGAAAAGACCATGTCGACGCACGTGTAAATCCCCATCAGAGTAACAAATTCATTCTGTGTAACGAGAATCTGAGCGAGCGAGGAATTCATTGCTGTATGTCTTTAACTTGAGGAAGGGACAATGACAAGCACGTTGTTAAATCAAGGTTTGTATTTTCATAAAAAGAACAGAATTAACAAATGGATTTGATCGGTATATTTTATAGGCACAACCATTTAAAATAGAAATTTCGGGCTTTTTGTGTGTATGAATCTGTTATATAAATAGTATAATTTTCCAACATATTTTCTTTTTAAGTTTATCCAGACGCGTCATTGTTCACAGATATTGATTTGTAATTTGCTCTTTGATGATGAGACTTCCATCTATTGTATCAAGGCCAAAATTGAAAAGACTGGCATTTAAACAAAATATTATGGTAGTAATTAAAGCGTTACACCCAAGTGGGTATGATAATATTGAGTATTCTTTGAATATACTCTAAAGGATCAATTATATCTAGGGATTAGATCTTCTTGTGTTGATTCTGAGAATTTCAAGGACCAATCAGATCTAAGTATTGATTTCTCAAATGTTGATTTTGGGAATCTTACATTTGTTACATTAGTTAACATCTTTTGTTTAAATATCAGATTTTTCTTTAAATGTAACGGGAAGACTTAAGAGGCGAACGGAAATTATTGCTATTTAGGTCAGCAATTTCATCTCGATGGCGTCTCATTCATCACGAAAAAAATAGGATAAATTATGGGTTATAACTATTCGTTTAAATTTAACGACATTATTGTAAATTACTTGCCTGGAACTTAATTTCTCCTTGTGGGCGATTGAAACATTTCATGTCGTATCATTACAGTCATTGCTGTGGGCGATTGAAACATTTCATGTCGTATCATTACAGTCATTGCTGTGGGCGATTGAAACATTTCATGTCGTATCATTACAGTCATTGCTTAAAGGCAACAGTTCACGGGAACAAATTCGCCATCATTCAACAATTTAAAATAATATATGATAAATTAGCTGAAACTGATATTACTTTTTTTAAGATAAAACAACTGTCTTATTTTACGGGTGGCAATTCATTTGTGCAATTTCATGACATTTAGATGTCCCAGTACGCGCTGAATGGGATACCGAAATAATTAAGTTTTGAATTAAATATTTAACACTACTCTAGTTTTAACACAGCGATTTCTTAAATCAGGTTGACGTTAAAATAAATCTCTTCAAGATGATTTTGAGAGGGACGTCGATCCGAACCAACAATCAGAGAAAAACAAAAGTTGCGGGCTATGATTGCATTGCTATACTTAAATTAATTTGACTGACTCGATTCGTTTGATCCAGAATACGACTTCTTTACCCTTTAAAAAAATATTGTTGCACTTGCTAAAAAAAAATCGCCTGAGTCCTGAGGTTACCCATGGACAATCAAACACCTTCACCCGTAGATTGCCCAAAAGCTCAAAAGATGTCTCAGGGCCAATGCGTTGACAGAATGAGAAGAGTTTACAAAAAAAAAATTAAAGGGTGTTAGCAGCGCAGAAAGTCCGGTTTTTATGGGCGCAGTCTTGGATCTCGCCAGTGGGTAAAATGTGCAGATTCAGACCAGTTAAAAAAACAAAGCCTACTGTATTGTATGGCGTTTAAACAATTAATTTAACAGCGGAAAATATGCGACGTATACCACTGTCAACGTGGCGGTCTCCACAACCTTTCGGCATTGTCTTTATGCTGTCCAGGTTTTTCCGCCCAACACACACCGTGGTAGCCTATCTATTATGTGGATGTTTAACGCCTCAGAGACAACTTTAAACAAAAAAAATCATTTCCGGTTAACACCTTGACTAAAGTGGTTAAACAAAATTCTAGACCGAATTCCGAGAAAATGGTGCTGACAGGTTTGAAAACGTACATTTTATTTCACGTGACAGAGAAAGAGTGCCAACAGAAATTGCATTGCATTATAGTATGAGCAACAACTTATCAGATCAGCTCAAAAGTGTTCTTGCCAAATGTCGAAATGCTGGCCACATCCTCGTCCATAAGATCCTTCATTTTGATCCCTGTTTATTTTCTAGTCATGATTTTCTTTATTCAGCTATAAGAGATGGGACGGCACACCGTAATTCAAAGGGTACGAAATGAATCAGCGGGTGGCTGGATGACTGTATTGTGTAGACGCATGTCAATTTAAAGCCGTAGAGTGAAGTTCAATCCCCCAGCGGATGCCTAGCCAAGCAGAAACATCACCAGCACGGAGAAGCTCTTCAACCTTGGATGACAACGCACAGAAGGGAAACTCTGAATTCAAACTTTAACGTACGTGGAGACCCGTAGGTGGTTTGCCATTGTTATTCTGTAATGATATGTTAGACAGTGTTAAAACGTCAAAGTAAATGAACACTCAACACACTGTTCTCGTGTAAATGAGCAAGGCTGTCTTGCGCACCGTGCACAGGAAAGACCTTCATTTTTGCGCACCAATAAAAATTCACATGAAACGTTCATGTTCGACCTAGCCGCAGGGTAGAAACAGAATTTTTAAAAAAAAATGTAATGTCTAATATAAGGAAAAATATAAAAGTGAATCTCCGGATCTAGGCATTTCCCATGTGCCAGGCCCCGACATACGTTTCATCCACCCTAAACAATATCAAAACCACATCTGTCCACGCAAAAAAACACCAAAAAAAAAGAAATAATAATTCACAAATCATTCGTAATTAGTTGGCAAATAATAATTTAAGCCTATTTCTTGGCATGATCTAGTTAATAAATTTTATTAGTCTTTGTTTCGCGATCATCTCTAAAAAAAAAAGACATTTCTCCTGCGCAATTCCCTTGAGTTTAACAGCAGCGGTTTACTGAGACAATTTAAAGTCTACCTCTTGTCTCTAGTTTGTATTTCTTGTCTATTGCAATCCAAACCATCGGCTTCCTGACATGTGTTGCACCTAGGGGTGCACTGGGTTTTCAAAGAAAAGTAAAGCTATGAACATTGAACAGAATGTGTGGTGAGCGCACACGAGTGAAAGGAAAAACAAAAGAAACGTTTATGTGTAGAAGCTTTTGTCGTTTTTTTAAAAAAAATTATTGAATCTTGAAATATTCTTAACTTATTTATTGCCTTTTTTTTGGCTCGCGGTTTTATTACATTACATAATTTTTACATTCTCGAATAATTTTATGTAACGTTGTACTTTATTTTTTAATTGCACATTTTTTTCGGAGTTCTGGGTCCAACTACGGTCAAAGTCGGAAACTTGGAAAGTGGTTACTGTGAATGCGTCGAGATTCGATTGTTTCACGACGAGGCTGTTATAGTCATAGTGAGTTTAACGTTAAGAGATACATGCCAAAAACTAGACGCTAGACACATGCAGTCGTGATGCCGTTGTCTAAAGTGTGTGACATCCTATGGCCAATGAAATGTTGGACACGTTTGTCATAAATTAAACATAGCTAAGCTGTTCGAAAACAACAACGCTAGTTTTCATTTCAAAGTCTCCGATATAATGCTTTCCGTTCTTCTGGCGAGGGTCTCGCAATTTTTAAAAAGGGGACACTCGCATTTTCTGTATACTTTGACTCGCATGACTTTATAGTATGTAAGTCGCATCGACGAAAAGATGAGCGCAATGACAGCGATGAGATTCAAAGAGAGATTGTTAGAGTTGTTAGAGCAGATGAAATTTATGAAGGAGTATCCTACCCCTTATTCATCCGTCATTAAAATTTAGCCGTGTATTTTAAAGTTATGTATTTCAAATTCAAATTATTGTTAAAATATGAGTTCTAAGCAATTTCAATTCACTCAACACTTTTATAAAAAAAAATATTCTTTTGCAATTATGTCAATGTTTTTTTTTACGTTTGAATGGAAAAAAAAATCTTCAAGATGTGTGAAAAACATCAACAATAAATTGAAATATAAAATATGCCAAAATATTGTGTGTTTATTTTATTTTTTGAAAATTAAATATAATTTCAAAGTGACTACTCACATTATCATGAAATCATTTTTTTTTTTTAAATTTCAACATTAAATAAAAGAAATTCAAATATTTATAGCTTTGTTTCTTTTTTGCCCATATATTTTCTTTAAGGATTAAATGCCAATGGCATTTGTACATGTAATACATAACAAGGCGTTTTATTTATTCTTTTAAAGATAAGATAAGATAAGATTCTTATGCCAATGGCATTTGTGCTTGTAATACATAACAAGGTGCGTTTTATTTATTATTTTAAAGATAAGATAAGATTCTTTTGCCTATGGTATTTGTGCATGTAATACATAACAACGTGCGTTTTATTTATTCTTTTAAAGATAAGATAAGATAAGATTCTTATGCCTATGGCATTTGTGCATGTAATACATAACAACGTGCGTTTTATTTATTTTTTTAAAGATAAGATTCTTGTATTGATCCAAATAAATGGAATTTTTTTTTATTACATTATACATTTTCAGCACAAAAATAAAACAATTTGAAAACAAGACATTTATAATAAATTATTTCAAACAGCCATTCAGCGAGTTCTCTTAGCCAAATCGGGGACTTATTAGTTCTCACTCAGATGTGTGACTGCAGAGCAAGGTTAGAGATACTTCGTTATTTACTTTGACTTATTGGGGTCGATTTGTTAAAAGTTCAGTATCCAAGCCTTTTAATTAAATTGACACCTAACGAGGAAAGTTTCTTTATCATAAGGTGTGGTTGGATAGTGTTAAATGCTGATGAGAAGTCTAAGAAAAAGCACTCTGCAATATGTTTTATGACTGTCTAGGTGATGGTAAAGTGGGTAGGGGTCAAGTTTTAGCTGTACTTCATTCAAAATTTCTTTCAGAATTATTTTCTCAAAACATTTCATGACAATAGACGTAAGTGCAACAGGTCGTTGTTGCACATTACCTTAATTTTCTTTTGAATTTGTATGATTTCTGAACTTTTCCAAATTGCTGGTATTGTGTGGGTTACATAAGATTGATTAAATTTGTAACAAAAAATGTAGGAGAGCTGCTCTGAACATAGTTTGATGAGCCATCCACTTAATTTGTCTGGTCCCGATGCTTTGGTTGCGTCCACTTGAATAAATAATGACATCACTCTCTGTTTTAGATTCCCGCACG